AAGGTTTAAGAGGAGGTTAAATCTCAAAGGCACGATAAACATATAGGTGTTTTTAGTTATACCACCGGTCTTGAACAATAGATTTACGAATGCAAATTCATATTCCAAGTATTAGAAAATATACGTATCTCCACCTTGCCGTGAACCAAAGTGTTAATTGCTATAAAACCCTCGCATTTGTGAATTTTACTTTGAAAAGGAAAGGGAAGAAAATACACCAAAATTTGAAATCACATATCTATCGGCTGTTGTTATTTTTTGGAGGGGTATGTACTAAAAGCTCAACGATAGTAGAAAGACATTGAAATGCAAAAAAAATTACAATATTTCCCTCCATATACTGATTATAATTATATATATATATATATATATATATAGTTTTATAATAAGACAGTTCTTTACAAAAAATTTTACACAAGATTCATAAAAAATTCACTAAAACCATCTGAAAGGCTACATGTGATATTGAAAGAGTCAAATATATATATCACCAAAAATAGACATAACAGAAACTTAAAATATCCCTTAGAATAAAGGTAATAAAAAAAGATATGGTATATCAAAGAACCAATCCCATAAAAATAAAAATAAAGAACGTTTGGGATATACTGGTTGTGTATGGAATTGCCACATGGGCTTCATAAGATCCATGCAGTAAATACATATTGGCATAGGAGGGTAAGTGTAAAAAATGTATAAATTTTAATAAATTACAAACAGGAAAAATATTTTAAAGACAAGCACGCAAGAAATATGCTTGACTAAGCAAGATACATTTAAAAGCATAGGGATATCTATTTTTACTTGATACACGCGCACGTGCATTTGGGTTTGCCTCCAAATATATAAAAAATTACGTAGAACACTATATAGGAGCTAGCAATTTCAACAATGTTACAACTTTTCTCCCCCACACTTCACAATGACATCATAAAGAATAAAAGAACACAACTCTATCAATATGGAAACAAATTGAACACAAACTGAGGGTCAAAAAAAAGTGTCCAACAATAATCCTACAACCAGTGCAATGAAATATATGAATAGAGTAAAGAATCTTTGACGGTAAAGTTGCCATAAATTTGGTTCAAATCCTCAGGCGTTGTTCGCCTTATCTATCTTCAAAAAGTCGATAAAAGACGAGCTTACCGTGTGCACCTCGATATGTTGGCTGTAACCAGACTCTCATAAAGTGCATTCATTTTAATCGGTGAAAATAAGTGTTAGAGTGAAGAGATCCGTAGAATTACCCGTCGTAGGAAAGTATCAATAGCAGAAACGCATTTTGGTTCTTGTTGAGTTCAGATAATTATATTTACTTGCTTTACTATTGCATCCTCAATTCTAAATAGCAAAGCTCTGAGGTCTAAAAGAGAAAAAAGGATCCTAAATAAGCATCATGAGTTGCCATCATGATGGCGAGCAGCACCGCCACCACTCTTGTCTTCCCGCATAGACCCCATTTTCAACCTCAGTGCCGTGCACCCTTCGAATTTTTAGCTATCGTGATAAAAGTAAAGATGGCGCCTAAGACGCGGTGAGTCCGCTTTAACTTTAGATCTTTCTTCATATCTATCTATAACCCATTATCTCTGGAAAGGCTTGCTTTTCCGCTGCAAGTATGTGAAATCGGTTGTGCGGTTGATGTTTCTTCTGGAGATAGAGCTCTTGTTTAAAGAGTTCCCGTATGGGAATGGCACATTACCCCACGTACCGATTTCACGAGAAGCTTTGTGATCCTATTCATCTCACCAGGTATTCGACGGACCCGCCTGTCCTTTCCACATCTAGAATCCTATCTTCGCTCTTCTACAGACAAGGCATGATTTGAACACAGTTATTGGCTCTTGTCATTGAAGTCTGTCAAAGTTGTGTAGGCAAAAAAGTAATTAATTATACAAAAAAGCACAACTTCCTTTCTCTATGCTTCTACTAAAGCTTTGGTTTCTTGCGAAGATGACGGCGAAGGGTGGACCTTAACGGTAGTTCTGCCTTGTCAAAGACAGATAGTTGTGGTTCCTGAGACGAAGTATTATCCCTAACTCCCTTTATAGAATCCCCTGACGAAGTGAGGCCTAACATTCTGGAATATCCCCTCAGGTTGGATTTAGAAGTATGCTTGCCGCCCCTGACCAAATGCATGGCCTCCTGGTTATACACCTGAAAGCGCTCGAGCTCAGCTAAACGTTGAGTAACATCCCATTCCATACTACTCACCTCATGGTCATCACTATCAAATTCATCTTGTACACCAACCTCATTCAGATTCGGAATCCCAACTGAACCCCTGCGGACCTTGGGCACTGGATTGCTCATCATTACCTGAGATGTACCGTTCTTTCGTGTTTCCATTGGCGTCTCCTCTTCGGTGTCCTCAAAGATAAAAGCCACATCTGAATTTTCGGCAATTTCGCTTCTATGAAGATGGCGCAAAGGTTGAAGGTCACAGTTGAAATGGTCAGACGGCCCTTGTTTATAAAGACGGGTCATCCCATCCGATTCGCATTGATCGTGCTCCTGTGAGTCTAACAGCGAATCCGTCCTAAGTGAGAGGATTGGGATCAACGACGAGGAGGAAAGTGATAGAGACGGAGAAACCATTGAATTTGATTCAGAAAGATATGTTGATGGCTCTTCCAGGTAGATCCGATCTCGATGATACGGCCGCCACCGACGTGTGGTAACGCAGTTATTTGTATGCTCCACGGGCCTGTCGGGCATGCCCCACGTCATCGAATCTTCGCTTGTGAAAGTGTCCTCGTCGTTGGAAGAAGTTCTGGAGCTGCTCCGCTTATCGCTGTCGGAGCCATTCTCCCTCTTCCATGGTCTAACCTTGTCAGGCGTCGCCGCCCCTTCTGTGCACAGAGCTTCCTGAATAAGAGGATGGGTATTCATTTCCACCTCGTAGTCCATCCCGGGTAATGGGCTCAAATCACGCCATGCCGGTGGGAGATGCTCCAGCTGATGCATGACTTCGTAGTTGCTCCAGTAGGAAAATTTCTTTGCCGTGGTGTTTTGAGACACAGAAGAAGCGGTCCCATTCGAATCTTTTGCTTTTTCCAGACCGCCCGAGGTCATAATCGCGGCAGCCGTCTTACCCTCTTCCCTCACGCGTGCACTGGAGGTGAGGTCCTTCGATCGTGAAAGAAGACCCACCCTCGGGACGATCGGTGGACGACGCATCACGGGTACGGGCGGTACGCTTTTCACAACTTCAGATATGGGAGGGGACAGTACAACCTCCTGGGCAACTGTCTTGGGAGGTTCATGCTGGTTTTCGTCTTGTCTATTATGGGGATTAACGCATGCTAATGAACCCTCTTCCGATGGTGCGGTAGCAGAAACCGAGGAAGAGACTTTGGTGTCCTGCTCTTCCAGCGTAAGAACAAGCCTCGAGGTGACCTCGAGTAAGTCTAACGATACTTGGCTCTCCCCATACCCATTCTCAGTTTTCATACGCATCGAGTCGGATAACAATAAAGATTGCACCGATGCCTCAATCAAAGGTTGTCCCTTATCATAACAAGATGGATAGTTGTGACCCATATTCTCACCACCGATAGTACCACAACATGAATTACCCTCCAAATTCTCTGCACGTATATATGGAAGAGGTGAGGTGCTGTGACTAAACTCCGGCGCCGTCGCAAGCACGGGATCGGATGAGCACAATAATTCACCTGAAAAGTGTTTATTAATGCAGGTGTCGTTCGATGGGGAAGGCGTAGAAACCACAGCTGACATTGGAGAAATAAGATCAATATTTTGCGTGTTGTCCGAAGTTAAGATAGCAACTTCCGGTGAAATAGATTTCATAGCTGCTACAGGTGAAAGTGGAGGGGAGGATGTGGCCTCGTGTGTCGTGGAATGAAGCAGTCGATACAAGCCTCTCTGTTTTTCTACTTCGTTAGCACACAGTCTGGGTGAAAACCTCGGTGAAAGATGCGCTAACGATGGGAGACGCATTGATTGCGAATTTGAAAATGAACGTGGCGTGACGGTTGTGCTGACGATGGTAGATGTGCTACGAAGAGCGCCTCGGATGGACGGTGGGAATGAAAAAATACTCGAGGCCACGCAAGATACCCGCTCAGTCGAAGGCAGACGCGATGGTGAAGAAACCACGATACTAGTGGCACTGAGAGTTCGGTTGATGATATCGCCACTGTAAAAAAGGCTGTAGGGTTGAGTCGCAGACGCAATAAAGCCAGAGGCTGTGACCTCATGTAGTCCTACTATGGAATTTTCTAAAGCTCCACAAAACATCGGCTTGTGGTTATACGACGCCCGTTTACAATCGATAGACGGTATCTTGATCCTACTACTACAACCACAAGAATTATCATTATCGTCTAAACGATTACGACTTTCTTCACAAAAGGATGATGAAATGCGAGGGGGTGCACTATGTGCTCGACGTATTTTTTTTAGATTCAACGAATCAGACTCATTAGCAAGGACTGGACAATAAGAATTGGGATAAGACAAAACACTGTAAGAAAGCTGCATCTCAGTATAAACAGGGCACTGTGAAAGCGCAGGAAGCACCATCTGTGTTAGATACGGTTGTGTTGCGCGTCGAAAAAGTCCACGAGGGTTTATAGACTGAGAAGGGACTACCTGTGTAGGAGGAATTGTCATTGCGAACGCGTCACCTATGTCACTTTCATACTCCTGTGCATCCCTGCCATGTCCTGTATAATTGCTTTTACTCAAAGTACTAGCTTCCATAGAGTTAGTGGAAACTAGTGAATCAGTATGTGTGGTCATTTCATGTCGTTCTGACATCCCTGGTACTCTTGAGGCTAAAAACAAAGGCATATCATTATTTGGTATATGATGTATTGGGGTATCAGTGCATATCGCATATTCATTCCCAACAGATGGGCTATCACTATCATTTCTAACCAAACTACTACAAACCCCACCACAGTCCTTCCCGCTTCGATCAGATTGGGAATGCTCCATTTTATTATGATTTAAGGACACTTCTAACATCGTAATGCTTTCAAAAATACGCTCTTGACGTGAAAAAAGTGACGCTATTCTTGAGCAAAGCGGCGGGGGAACGTCTGTAGAAACTGTAATACTAGTGGAAATGGCTTTAGAAGAATGCAAATCCTCGGGATTTATTGAAATATCTGAAGCGGAATTAGGAAAAGATGGGTGTTCAATCTCTCGATGCGTTGGCATATAATGTAAAGTGGGCAAACATGAAGTAGCTAAGTCATCCATCGGTGCTACCCCAACAGAGCGGAGACTTGGGGAGTCATTTACATTTCTAGAACTATTGATGTTGAACTCGATTAACGAGTTTGAAAATATTTCGGTGTGGTTTATATTTGCTAACTTAGATGTTTGAGCGGGTTCATAAAGTACCGATAGTGTTGCCACAGTTGTGGGCTCAGAAGAAGCACTTTTGCACTTTTCTGTATCATCATCACCTCCATTTGGATCAGGGCTACTGCTTCTTACACTTGGTGTCTCCTTAGCTTCATCATGACGTAACGATATAGTTGAATCGCTTTTTCGGCTCAATGTAGTACTGCTTTTGATGAATCCATAAGCCATTGATTTGCGTTGTTGAATATTTTGGTTAACGTCCCTCAGTTGTGAAATCTCGCCACAAACGCCTTGGACCTCAGGATATGACTTCTTTTTTGAAGCGTCATCCATTTGATGCATTGTGTAATGTATTATTATTATTAATTAGGAGAAAGCCGTAAGCAATGAAATAATATTATTGATCTACACAATATGGGGGGAAATAAATAATAAATATGAATTAACTAGATAACACAATATTTCAGAACTTTGTGTATTTGTTGTATATGTTATTTTTTTTATTTCGTCTTTGCTGATTCTATTTTTACTGATTAAATGCACCCTATATAAATGAGTAAACAAAACTCTTCTATTATTTCTAATATAATTATTATATACTATCAAACACGCAGGCAGAAATAAGTAGAATAGTCTCGTATAAAATTGTAAATAGAAAAAATTTGTAACTATTTCAAAAATAAAAAATAATGTACACTTCTATGTACGCACGCACAAAAAAAAAAACTTTAAAATACGCTTCCTCAAAGATAAAAAAAAATCTAGGATATTTTGAGTAATGTATTAGTTATCTAGTCGTGTGTGTGTGTGTGTGTGTGTGTGTATTTGTATACTTGTACAAACAAGTATTTTTTCTAGTTAAAGGAATAAATCGAAGAAAATAAAATAAAATTTTACATATTTTTGTTTTGAGGGACATGTTTTCGTCACAGATACAAATAGAAAAAGTACAACTATCAGGTACTGATTTATTCTGTGGTAAAAGTATTGTTTCATGCGTTTCCACTAATAACAATGAAAACATCAACTAAATATAAAAGATGCTATTTTACATCGTTTTTAAACCTCGTCATAATATTCCCTGACTCATTTCTTTTCTACTTCTTCGATTTGGGGGGATCTGCGGAGCCACCAGACGCAAGCACAGTTGGTCTTCGTATTGGTAAGGCTGCCACTCGCGCTGCCCCGTCGGCGGCCATTTTTTGCTTTTCGATTCGCACGAAATCCTGCAATAGCCAAGAAAGTATTTCATGCTCACCATTGGAACTAGTCCACAACACATCCAAACTTTCAACACCTTTTAACCAAAGCGCCATAGATTGGGGCTTCTCCGCACCGTTGCCGCCGCTCGTGTGTGAAGGTGTAGAAAGTCTTCGGTTATTGGATTGCGAGACTGGCGCCGGGGAGGAAGTGGGCCTTTGAGGACACAACAGAAGATCCTGAACAGCCCGTGAAAAAGGAATTGGTGGAGTACCATTCACACCGGCCCCAATACCCGCTGCACCTGCCGCAGAAGGAGTCAACTCACTTTTCCTTTTGTTTGCCTCTTTTCCAATGCTTGGGTTAGGTAAGGAGTTTCTAATTTTGCTCCCTGGTGTCGCTCCTTCTTCAGTTGATAATGCTTTTGACTGCGTTGAAATATTATCCTCATTAACACAGCTCCCTTGTTTTTCCAAGCCTTCAGCCGCATCCGTTTCCACGGCATTGTTGGTCCCTTCATTAGATGTGGGTAGGATAGGATGGGTAATGAGCACTGGAGGATCATCACGCACACCCTTTGACCCCCAATGTGGGGTTAAATGGGCATTCCTTATTAAATTCAGTATGCCAGTGAACGACACGTGATCCAATGCTTTGTCTGTAATGCCACTACCCATCTCCATTACACTATCGTACTTAGCAGCACCAAGTGCCGATTCGAGAGTGGCGCTAATGGTCATTGAATCATGCAGATGTCCAGAAACAAAGGGCGGTAGTGGTTGGCTAATCTGCTGCGCCGATCGAGGAGCGCTGTGGTTGTCATGGATACCGGATTTGATCCCTAACTTACGCTCGTCAAAGTCGGATTGCGGAGTGGTCTTCCTGTCATCCAATGCTGGCAGCATGTTCGAACCGCCTAGATGATTCAAGCTACCCGACTCTTTCAAGGAATCCATGCGGCAACCGATAAGAACTAACGCAGGGTATGATCCAGAAGCAATGTCTGTTGTGGTAGTGCTGCTTGGGGTCGATCCACAGAGCCCTGGTAAAGAAAAATAGGCACTCTGTTCAGGAGCTGTACGTAATCCAACAAAAGGAATGTTCGCAGCGTAGGATGACAATAAAGATGTGGCGAAGTTGTTTACGGAAAAGGGTTGAATATTTCCATCCGTAGGACTTATCGATGCGAATGCCTGCGAGGGGGTTCCCGAATGCGCCATAGCCCCACAATTGCTGGTATTCCTCTTATTTAGGGAAGCAATAAGCTTCGGATTTGAAGCAATCTCCAATACAAAAGAAAGAGGCAAAAGCTCAACTTTTTTATATATATGGGGCGAAGCGCTGAGAGAACCCGTTTTTTCCTTACCAGAATCCTCAACAGGCGTAATCTGACTGCTTCGGTCATTAGCTTTTGAGCGCAAGGCCATGGCGGAAAAGTGCGAACCTAAGTTAGATTTGCTTGTACCGTTGCTGTCACCGTTATTAGCTAAATCCACTAAAGCAGTATTGAGTGAACCTATTGTACACTCCGTGTTAAAAGCTGTAACTTCATTTTTGTGATGATGAACAAAAATAAGCGGCATTATGTTTCCTCTAAATCGATCTATTATTAAATATACTTATAAATAAATTTGAAGAATATTATATACAATATAACAGTTAATATCATAAAAATATATAGAATTATAAAATTCTCGGGGACATGTATGGTAACATTCATGTTTCCATTTTTCATTTTACCGTTTTCCCTGTGATTGCTCACTTACTTTGCTATATTTAGGAATCGGTATATCGATTAATCGCATTACAAAGAACTTATAAAAAATATGTTACGCAAATGTCAATAATATCGATCATATTTTATCCAGTGGTGTTACTTTCCTTTATTAAAAGGATATCATTGCAAATATAGATATATATGCAAATACGGTAGAAAGTAATATATATAAGTATATATATATATACTTATATATATATATATATATATATATACATTTGGAAGTGAATTTTGTTAATCCTGAAAGGTAAAAAATAATCATGCAATTTCATAAATAATAAGCTCCACCACAATCCCAACACTGATAACAAGAGCATTCAATGAAGAAAGAGCTTTTAAAAAAGGTATTGCAAGGGAAGTTACAAATACATTTACGGAAACTAATACAAGAATAACAACCCCAAATGATGATGTAAAAAGTCTTGAAATAAACTCAACTATATCAAGTGAAGTATCGATATATTCCTCCTCAGATACTATCACGCTCTGCTTGCCAGGCTCATTAGATACACGATTGTCAAGGGGAGAAGTGTCTTGCTCCTTGATCGTTTCGTGCAAGTGTCTTACCACCTTGTGTGTTCTTCTTCGACTCTTTATGATACCTCGTGACAAAAGCTGCTGCCTCAGTAGTTTGAAACTCACCATACAGTATCCAACCATGCCCAGTGTGATAACCGTGATTCCGGTTTGGGCAACAATACCCCTCCAGCTGTTTTTCAAAATAAAACAAAACCACTGCCCGGTAAAAAAAGGAAGAAGCATGTACAAACGCTCGCCTAAGCCAATCACATGTCTTTTGTGTCTTTGGAATAGCAGTTGCGATTCATGGGTATTGGTACCGCGTTTATGCCCGCACGCAACTGATTTATCAGCTGGGTATTCGAAAATTCTACGAATATGATCCCCACGGCTGACCTTCCCATCTAAAACATCCTTAACCTTACACAGAATTCCGCTGAAGAAACCTGTGGTGATAGATACCACTAGCCACATCAAAGTGGGATCCATGAGATAGCAGTGGCTGCGCATAGCTATATCTGAATTAAGACCTAGAGTTGCATGGGAATACGTTGCAGTAGTCGGTATAAATGATAAACTATGTGTCACGGAAGAGGATGCAGAGGCTGGAGTATTGGATGTTAACCAAAATTTTTCACTGAAAACACCTAACAGCCAGGAAAGCACAAACAGAAATTCACCACCGTTTTCAACACGGACGCTTAAAATCCATGTACTCACGATACCAAACAAGCTAAATGCAAAGACTTGTAGGGCAACAGGCAGAAAAGTCTCGATATCAAAACCTGTTGGAAAAACATAATACTTGAAAGAGTTAAGGATATAATTGAGTTGAAATCGTTGAAACAGAAGAGCCACATTGCCCGAAAATGTTGTTGCAAATGTGTGGTCAGGAGCAATTCTGTGAAATATCAGGTTGTCATTAATTGACGGTAGGAGGCTGCTATTTTGGGTCCCTACAAAAAAAGAATTACAGTGTGCAGTATAAATGGCTGCAATTGAGTAAGGCACCCATACAAGGATCGAGGAGCTGACAAGAGCTACTTCAAGAGCACGACTATCTGTACTACCCGCATGACGGCGCATAGCTACCCTCGAGAAACTATTGGTAATCACGAACAGTGTTCGGAAAAATCAATAAAAAGACTTTAGAATGCTTCTAAATATTAGTTTAATTCAGATACTACATGCCGTGAGTGTGAAAAAAAGATACACTGAAATATGCTAATTCTTATAAATGTATATAGTAGGAGTAAATTGAATTAAATCATTAAAAACTTTCCAACATATTTAAGTAAATATTCAGATAAATTGAGACAACAAAAAAGTATTATTTGCTTCGAATCGAAACTCAAAGCGATGCAGAACAGAATACTGCGAAAACAATTGCATCTACTGATGTGCCCACCACAATGCACAACAGAACCAGTTTTCCACGTCGATAAAAAGGAAAAGTCAAAGGCACTTAACCCCAATCTTTATACGGAGTACTAAACACTGACAATACAATAAGATGACTGATTTAGTCAGGACAACATTTGCTTGGTTGCATTATCCTCCACCTGAGCGTCCCCCACTAAATTTTCAACAAATTTGTTAATCTGTCATCCGACCAGGGACATTTTTTGACTTCAGACTCCATTTATGAGGCCCGCGCAATCCTGAAGGGGGTTTCATAGCCGTTCAAAAGGTTGGTACCTAATGGATATCTTACTTTGCGCCTATGTTTGAGACCTTTCATTCATATTGTGACATTAAGGTTA